TGAATCACATTATTATTATTATTATTATGGACTAAATATAAAAAATCACAAACTCTTTCAGTTCAAAGTGCTAAGCCTAATTTATGTAAAGACCTTGCACTCGCCACTCGATAGCTCCTAACCCTAACAATTGTGGATCAACTTCTTTCCTAAAAAATATATCTATTTTCAGCTAATTTTTGAATATAATGATTAATATAAGTAGATATACAATACAGCATGACTTAAGCTACTATATAAAAATAATAAAAGTCACATACATCCCATGCAGTTTTTTCCAGAAGCATGTTTTTTTAAGGCTTATAGAAAAGTACAATTGACCAATACTAAATACAACCTCTACATAAAACGGCAGTTACTATAATAAACACCACCCACATTCATATTATAAAATCCAGAGAACAATGTTTCGTCACGTGGTTTGCTTATCATCCTATAATTTGTCAAACGTGAAATACAGCAATTGGAATAACATGGTACTGAAATTGACACCTTCGACTAGGATTGGCTTAAAGTTTTACAACTGAGCTTTAACATGCCCAGACACTGTTTTATAAAGAAAACAGACTAGAAAAAGGTTTAGATAACAATCATAGATGGCAGGACCAGTGCTGAAGTGGAATGAAAAATTGAAAAAAATTTCTAAGAAAAATTTTCTTCTTAGAGGGCACTTATTTATAGTCTCCAATATATTTTGGGATTTTTTTTATTAAATTTCACTTTAAACTTCATTATATAATACAATTTTGTATAAATAATTGAATGTTATGCTACTATTTACAAAAATAAATCTGAAATCCAATAAAAGATAAGTTCTCTATAATTTTTTCAATTCACAAATGTGATTTTGCCTTCACAATAAGACAAAATGGCCAGAGCAGGTAATGGGTTAATATGTAGCATTCACTTGCTTAAATTGTGTAGTGCTGAATGAAAATATTGAAAATTATCCACAAATAAAAAAATAATATTACAGAATGAACACACAGCTCAAAAAAAAAAATATTTACCATTTGCTTTCTAGAGTATTATGACTATTCTTTTTATATTTATTTGTAGCAATGAACCAATAATTGCATCTTTTCAAAACTTTCAGAGAAAAGGATGAATGTTACTCACCAAGGATTCAGTTAGGCCTCCAACACTAACACAGACACCACGCAGAAGGCTATATGTGTATGTTTTCAGACAAAGAAGCATCATAAAAAGAGGGAATGTTTCAGCAGGAGCTGCCCAGTTGACCTTGTGGCAAACATCTTGTGAAAACACTTGAACAAGGTCATTTCTATGGGGGATGTTTGGAACTTGTGGAGAGCTGGAAAGAGATAACATTTTGAGTTCATATTGCATTGGTCTAAACAAAACACTGCAATAGTTAGAAAGAATAATTATTAATTATTGCTTGATATTGAGAAGTGGTATAATTTTGAAACATTGTGATATTTTTTGATGAATTAGGTTTTTTATTCTTCTGGTTCTTTTTCCTAATTCTTTTGATACTTATTGAAATTAATTACCTTAAGATTTATGTTGTATTGTCTATTAACCTTTGTTCCTAGTCCTAGCCAGGTACAAATTTGCTTTTTTTTTTTTTATAAGTGATAAATTTTGTATTCTAGTTATTTGAAAGTTTTTAAATTTTATTTCTGTTGTTATCTATATATCAATAGTAGTACTTCTGTTGTATGTCCATGTAACTACTTAGCAGGGTGAGGATGGAGCTCTGCCAAAATTGGTGTGGAGGTTAATTAGGTCCATGCGGGGTTACATACAAATTTCCAGTTTTGCATTTTGCTTCTTGCATTTTTAATGGCCTTTTTTTTACCACTACTTCGCCCCCTGTTGATGGATCTTTACCATATTTCACATGAAGGTTTGTTGGGTTCATGCAAAGATACATGCAAACTTACAATTTCAAATTTTGTGTTTTGCAGTTTTTATGGGCATTTTTTAATTTTTAACAATTACATATAGGGGAAGCAACTTTTCATGTCCTAAGATAACCTCTCATTAATCATGAATTTACATAACTTCTGTCCAGGGGATGGGTACTCCAGCTAGTAATAAATAGATTGTTTTTGTTTCACCCTGGTTGTACCAGTGTTTTGTTTAGACCATTACAATATTTTTAATTATTTTCTTCTTGAAACAAGTACTAATAAGACTTTTTTATTTAATTGTTTGTTTGTATTAGAACAAAGCCATATTGGACTATCTGCTATGTCACTACAGGGAATAGATTCCAGATTTTAGCATTGTAAGTCTGTAAATTTACCACTGTCCCACCACAGGACTTTTTATTTAATGAGCAGTCATTGTTTCTAAGCTCTTGCTTGACGAAGTTATGTGCACTACAAAAGCATGTGATCATAATGTTATAATTGTATATATACAAAAAGTGTTTAAAGGAAACAAACGATCTTGCTATGGTTATAAACCTTCATCTATCAGCTCATAAAAGTTTGAAGTTCACATGATATTTAATTTAAAAAATAATGTTTTTTTAACCTTTTTTACTTATATATTTTACAAAATATCAAAAACACACTGTATACTTGAAAGAATATAAACTTAATATAGACAGATTCTACAAATTCTATAAAAGATTGGTACAAGACTTGTCTCCAACTGGTTTTTCATAAAGCTGAAATATAAATCAAATTTGAATTTTTTTGTTTTTTGTTTTTTTTAATTATGCACAAAGCTACACGAGGGCTATCT